TGAACCCCCTTACTCGTACCAAGCCACATCCCATACTCTCTACCCAAGGTAGCACCACCCCATGTGGTCCATGCGACTCCCGCTCTCAGAACACCCCAACTGTGGCAACATTAGTATTCAGGCAACAGGGAAAGCGACGCAGGATTCCTCGACCATCAGCAGAAGTGAAAACTGTTAGAATCCGGGGAAAATGATCAATCCAGGGTCAGTGCTGACGGCGGGTATTCAAGGCGAAATAAGGCCAATCTCTCAATAGTCGTGGGTTCCCGCCCCTTTCATCGTTTTTTATCTCATTCTTCCTTCTCCTTAGTTCTATTGTCGGAAATAGCAAATCAACCGTAAATTCCCCAAAATTAAATTCCGAGAAAGTTTAAATAAATGGCCGAATTTCTTTTGTTTCTTTCCTCTTTTTCCATGTTTAATATTTTTCTATGTTTTTAATTTCTCTGCCGGGAACACAAAATAACAAGGATATTCCCCCTAGAATCAAATTCCGCGAAAATTAAAGAAATTAAGGGATATAATATTTTTCCTTCCTCCACTTCCGGCCTTGATCCCTTTTCCCCATCTTTAATTGTGGTACTAATATGGGCAAAAATTTGAGGCTTCATTTCGGCCCCGGTCGCGCCTAGTGCGGCCACTAATCTCGTCGTCTTTGAGGGTTGCTCGTAAAGTTCAGCGCGCCCAAAATCAGGGGTGCCCTAAGCTCCCCTAATTTTTGCTGCCTGGTCAACCCGGAGCACCGTCAAAACACGGACTTGTCTTTGAGCCCAAGACCCAAAACCCCAGATTTCAGGCGGCGCACTGCTTGTGGCCGCCTGACACCGTTACATCTCGGCTGTCCCGGTGTACTTTGCACCGCACGCATGTGAACCCGTCACTTTTGACGTGTTGGACACCGACTTCGATGTCTTTTTGGGGATGCCTTGGCTTTCTAGCGCGGACCACACGGTCAATTTCCATCGACGCATGCTCACGATTCGTGATGCAACTGGCGCCGAGGTCCTGTGTACTATTCCTCCTCCTCGCTCTTCCATTCCGTGCCAAGTCGTGAGTGCCAAATCTTTTCGAGACACATGCCGTTCCGAGCATGTTGAAGAGATTGGCATCGCTTTTCTTCGAACCGTCCCGACGACCGACTCATCGTCCACGGATGTGTCTTCCGACCCCCGTGTGACCCGGTTGTTAGACAAGTTCGCGGATGTTTTTGAGACACCCTCCGGTTTAGTGTTGGACCGGCCGATCTCCCACGAGATCATATTGAGGCCGGCGTCGTGCCACCAAAGGGATGCATTTATCGCATGTCCGAGGAGGAGCTCACGGTTCTCCGTGCGCAACTCGACGATCGACTTGACAAGGGTTGGATCCGCCCTAGCAGCTCACCTTACGGTGCGCCCGTTCTCTTCGTTCGGAAGAAGAACAAAGGACCTTCGACTTTGCATTGACTACCGACGCCTCAACGCGCAAACCATCAAGAACGCGGGGCCTCTACCTCGCATTGACGATTTGCTTGAGCGGTTGGGCGGCGCCAAGTACTTTTCGAAGTTGGACCTCAAATCGGGCTATCATCAGATTTCCATCCGCCCGCAAGATCGGTACACAACCGCGTTTAAGACGCGATATGGGCATTTTGAGTGGGTAGTTATGCCTTTTGGCCTCACCAATGCCCCGGCCACCTTTCAGGCGGCCATGACCACCGAGTTTCATGCTATGTTGGACCGCTTCGTCTTGGTCTACTTAGACGACATCCTCGTCTATAGCCGAACTCTAGAGGAACATCTCGAGCACCTTCGCCGTGTTCTAGAGACTCTTCGGTCAGCCCGGTACAAAGCTAACCGCGACAAATGCGAGTTTGTCCGGCAAGAGCTTGAATACTTGGGCCATTTTGTCTCTCCGGAAGGTATTCGTCCGTTGGCGGACAAGATTCAGGCCATCCAGGAGTGGCCCGAGCCAAAGAATGTGACGGACGTCCGATCCTTCCTCGACTTGGTCGGCTATTATCAACGCTTCATCAAGAGTTACTCGAAGATCGCGGCCAACCTAAGCAAGTTACAAAGCGAGGAGCGTCCTTTTGACTTCGACAACGATGCGCGCCATTCTTTTGAAACACTCAAAGCGACACTCTTATCCGCCGAGGTGTTACATATCTACGACCCGCTTCTAGCTACGCGCGTCACTACCGATGCGTCGGGCTATGGCATTGGGGTCGTCCTTGAGCAACACGATGGCACAGACTGGCACCCGGTCGAGTACTTTAGCAAGAAAGTACCTCCCGTGCATTCAATCGACGACGCACGGAAGAAGGAGCTTCTTGCCTTCGTCCACGCCCTCAAGCGTTGGCGACATTTCCTCCTTGGTCGGAAAGCATTCCGATGGGTAACGGATAACAATCCGTTGGTATTCTACAAGTCGCAAGACACGATTAACAGTACCATTGCCCGTTGGATGGCTTTCATCGACCAGTTTGACTTTTTCCCCGATCACATTCCCGGTAAGTCAAACCGTTTTGCAGACGCCCTCTCACGGCGACCGGATCTTTGCACCGCAGTCTACTCTACCTTCGAGATCGACGACGACTTGCGGGAGAGCTTCATCCGCGGCTATCAAGCCGACCCTCATTTTCGCGACAAGTACGCGAATTGCTCCTCCCCGAATCCGGTGCCTTCGCATTATCGGATCCAAGAGGGCTACTTGCTTGTGCATTCACGGGGTAAGGATCTTCTTTGTGTGCCGAGTGATTCACACTTGCGCACACGGCTTCTTGGCGAGTTTCACGATGCGCCCGCCTCCGGACATTTTGGTGTCAACCGTACACTTGGCCGACTTCGCCAGCGGTTCTATTGGCCCGACCTTCTTAAGGACGCCACCCGCTATTGTGAGTCGTGCGAAGTTTGTCGGCGTTGCAAGTCACGCAACCACCGTCCGTTCGGCGAGCTACACCCACTACCAGTACCCCTTGGGCGACGGGAAGCAATTGCTATGGATATCACCGGCCCCTTCCCGAAGCACAAGACCGGCGTGGATGGGATCCTCACGGTCGTCGACCGCCTCACCAAGTACGCCATGTTTTTGCCTTGCCGCTATTACGCAAAGGCACCGGAGTTAGCCGAGGTCTTATACACCGGTTGGATTCGCTCCAAGGGCTACCCCAAGGAGATCGTTTGCGACCGGGACACCCGCTTTCTCTCCGACTTTTGGGTCGCCCTCGTCAAGCGATGGGGCTCATCTTTGAAGCCGAGTTCGGCTCGCCACCCGCAAACCGATGGTCAAACGGAAAGGGCGCATCAGACCGCTCAAGTCCTTCTACGCACTCTCATCCGTCCCGACCAGGTTGATTGGGTTGAGCGCTTGCCAGACGTTGAGTTGGCTTACAACTCGTCGATCCATCCGGCTATCGGGATGTCGCCATTCGAGTTCGATCATGGTTCACCCATCTCATCGCCGCTGGACGCCACTTTGCCGCGCACAGCCGAGAGCGACGACCATCTTGCGTCCTTCGTCGCATGCAAGAGCTTCTTGTCAAGGCACGGGATCAGATGTCAAACACGCAAATACGGATGAGCCGTCAAGCCAACCGCAATCGCCTTCCTTGGCCATTTCGCGCCGGCGATCTGGTTTGGGTCTCCGCCGCGGAGTCCAACCTTGAGCAAGACATCTCTCGCAAGCTCCTTCCCAAGTGGATGGGGCATTGGCGCATTCTCTCTGCAGTCGGTGATGATCCCGAGGGGCCTTCATTCCTCATCGCGGTGCCACCTCACTTGCCCGTCCACACGGTGTTCCACTGTTCCAAACTCGCTCCTTTTGTTTCAGCGGAGTCCGACGAGTTTCCCGGTCGACGTACGCAAGACCCTCCTTCCATGGACGGATTTCAGGAGGCCGGCTACATCATCACCGACCGGCGCCATGGCAACAAAGAAACA